TCAAATATATTAAGCATTCCTATAAGTTAGCATACAAAAGATTCGCTATTGTGTTTACTTATGTGTAATATCTACAGGATTCACTTTTGACATTAAAATTGTAAAATTTTACATGTCAGCGAATTTTCTTATTCATAGACTCTTACTTTTACTTTTACTATTTCTTTATAGAACATTTTTCTTTTGTAAAAAAAATCTTATTCATTACTTTCATTATCTGCACTGGTTGGTTCCTGTTACTACAATTTTGGTTGGTCTTTGTCGAATACATGAAGTGGAAATATAAAAAAAATCACACCGCTTGATTGAAAATATTTATATATACCATATATAATATGAAATAAGAGATATTTACTTGTTATAATATATATTACGTTACAAACAACCATCTAGAGTTATTAAATTAACTTTAGGTCACCTTTCAATTGTCACCTTTCAATTATGGTATCTCCTCTTTAATGGTATATTATTGTATTAAAACTGTGTCAACAATAATCGAAATATTTGTATTTCTCTGGTATAAGCTCCCATTAGAAAATTTGTTTGATAACTTCAACAGAACCAAAACGGCTACCCAATAGCGAAAACTTTAGTTTTGAGAATAATAAAATTTCATTTCATTTTACAAATTTTTCTTATATCCAGAATTTGTTTCCACCAAAACGATATTCAATATGTTAATATAATACACATTAGTGAGTCCATTCCTTTAAAAAGAACGCTTGATATACGAAATCACGAATGTCAAAAAAAAACTTAAAGTATACCATCGTTTTTGAGTGACTTTGATATAACTTCATTCGGTTACAATTCTTTTAATCCATTTAGATGACTGTTGACAAAATTACATATCAATCCCATAAACCAATATCTCTCCAGTAATTATGATACTAAGTCATAAATCTCCGATTTTCTTTAAAAAGAACCAATCTATGCCGATGTTGTGACTCTATACATCAATTAACCCTTTTAACCACCGCAATAAACAGTAGATCAAAAAGTAACAACCTTGTCTCGCTCGACTACATATTCTAAATGATTCGCTACTAATTATAATTTTAATTAGTTTGACTAATATACTTCTAAATTATATATAAATTTAGATATAATAGCGAATTATATACAAGTCATTAGAGCAGTCGTCAAAATTCCAGTTCCAATTCCGAGACATTCTAACGTTATTCACGGGTGACTGATTTTATGTGACGGGTGCAACCTAAATTAAAAATCCTGGGGATTGAACTCGCTGTACGCACTTATATTAGTTCATTACTCAGCGGGTGCCAGATAACTATCCAGGGGTGTCAAGTGAAAGCTGTGCGGCCACTTCGATTGAGGAAGACGTTAAAATTTTTCATGTTAAATGCAATCAGATATATTGCTTTGTATAGTCGCCCTCCGAATCGAGTACACAAGGCAACGTGTCTTCTTCGTAAAATCTTTGGTCCTCTACGAGTTGGCCACAACTACCGCCTCTGTATGAACTACAAGCTGTACAAATTTTATCATGACATTGATATAATTTAGCGAATTAACATCCAGCGACATCACTGGTCATGTCGTGAGAATGAATGATGATGCTCCACCGAAAAGAATATTTAAAACAGTAGTTGGTGGAAGAAGGTGTAGAGGTGGACCGTATCTCCAGTGGAGATAACCCGATTTGATGTACGAGACTGGAGAAGCTGCACAAGCAGCAGAACCGTCTGGAGGAATATGCTGCGTCAGACCAAATTCCGGTAACTTACTTAAATAAGTAAGTAAGTAAGATTGTTGTAGTCAAATACCTGCTTAAATTCTAGAAATAGTTGCGATTTCATATTATTTTTTTTAAATTTTTATTGATATCTATTTCAAATGGCTTTGTTGAAATACACAAAAAAGCTATCTCTTAGTGTTGCTTTACTCAACTTAAACGATTTAATCGTTAAATATATTTCAGCGCTGCTAAGAGTACAACAATCATTATCCCTATTGGGATTTCAACTTCTGACTCTAACAATTTCTGCTATACTTTTGTCATGTATTATATTTATAATGTTTTGAAAATTCTACTTGTTTCATAACATCAGTTATTAAAGTACCGTCATTTTTGAAAATCTCTTTTTGAGCTTAAGTCCTTTGTTATCTTGTATCATCCTCTCAAACCTCTCTCATGTGTAATGAAAATATTGCTCTTCAGGCGCTAAAATGCTATCTGCAAAATAGCCGTGGCTCAAAAGTAATAGCTAAAAGTCGGAGGACAAGCAACAAATAAAGATCGATATGAAAGGATGATAAAAACCCTATACTCGACTGAAAGAAGAGAATGACAGAAGTTTGAGAAAAATATTTTTATATAATGATGAAATATCGAATGAAAAGTCGCTTCCATTACCATAGACCTTTAAGTTATAGTTAAAGATACTATTGGAGGTAGATTTTGTAGGTCCTGGTGCTAGTAACATTCTTCGATACAAAAGAAAATAACATTCTATTATTGCACATTTTCTATTAAATGATCAATTACATAAATTAGAAAAAATAATTAAACTTATTAAATATATATTTATATACCACGTCTAAATATCTAACATCTGTATAGAGTACACCTTTAAGTCGTCATATAAATCTAAATTTTGACTATCGGTACTTTTTGTTGTATTGCTTGTAAATTTTATTAAGGATGTCATAATTATCGCGCATGTATCTGTGTACATTAAGGATTATTTGTGTTCGTATATATAGTATGTATAGTATGTATAGTGTGTTATTGTTTGCTTACACAATTACAGCAATTTTGCGCTTCATATACGAGATTAAGACAAGAAGTTTTTTATTTTGGAAATATTCTTGTGTTTTACTTTACGGAAAAGTCAAAATTCTTTGTTTTCTCGCACAAAAGATAAATAAAAAGTTGCTTTGTTCAAATTGCCGGCCTACCTATGAAGAAGTGTTTTATTTTGCAAAGTTCCAAGATAGGCAATATTTTTCTGATGCTCACATTAATTGCCTGGTACGTGTCTTGTGAATGTCTGTTTATATGGAAAGGCACGAAAAAAGGAGTTTGGATTTGATGTGGTGTTGAGTCGTTATGTTGTGAAATCACGTAAAACAAAAATTATCTAAAGAAAGGGATTTTATTGTTAGATTCATACATTAAAAATAATTTAAAGTAATAAAATGTATATCTTTTTTTTTTTGGTATTTTATATTATTTTTTTACTTGTTACAAAATACGTACATGTATTTATTTTTAATATCAACTTAGCTTTCAATTAATTATATTTTTTTTAAACATCAAAAATGTTTGTATAGAATAAAGCTTGCTGCAAAAATTTTTTTTTTTAAATTATTGTTTTATTTTAGTGCTCTTAACAAGCATATGGCATTTTTGTTGAATTTGTTTTTTTTTCGCATTTTTAGTGCAATTAACTTATTTGTTTTACTTATATATATATATATATTTGTTCTCTTTTGGTGCTACTGGTTATCCTATTTTAACAAATGAACTTCTTTTTTAATTCAATTGTTGAAGTCAATTAAGATGTAAGAAATTCATTTTATAAAGCATCTTTTTATAGCATTAAATTAGAACAACAAACTTTTGTTATTAATTTTTTCTTGCCGAGAGTCGTCTTATGATAAAATGCAATTCTCGAAACAGCATTGTTTGATCAGCCAAATTTCAATAAATTAACTAAATTGTTGTTGTTATCTTTTAATTTCTATTCGAACTCTTGAGACTTTTATTTTTTAAATAATTGAATTTTTTACCCGACTATTTAACTGTTCGCCAAACACTGATCATCAGTTGTTTTTGAAAATATTATTTGGTTCTATAAGTCCAACTTATAGAAATTTCAACCAATTTTTTATTTGTTAAAACTTCAAAGATATTGTTTTTATAGAGACATCATTTATTGCACATTTTTACAAAATTTTTTGTTGTGTAATATAATTAATTGAAAAATAATATTTTTTAGTTGTAATATCTTCTTATTAATTTTTGCAGAAATTACAAAATTAAGAAATAGTTTTTTTTAGTGTCTACATTTTTATTGCTTTATAAAAAAATTTTAATAAGCTTGGACAAGTTGTGAACAGAAAGTGCCAGATCTGGAGATCTGGAGATCTGGAAAAAGTGCTAAGTGTAGTTAAACTGCAACAGTCCAAATTGTAACTCACTTTTTTTGTTCCTAGTATATATAGCTGATTAAAATATATTTTAAAATTGATCACAGTATTTGTAGAACCTCATTTGAATTTCCGCCAAATATACTGTTTCACCTTAAATCTTTTCTTGACATTTAAGGAATAAATAACGGACATCAAAATGATGTTTTTCTGAAAAAAATTTTGAAATCCATTATTGGATTTGGATTGAAATTACTTTCTGCACAACCAATTATTTTTCTTATAAATCAAGTTGAGCTCTGAAGCTTTGCGTGAAAAGAGTGAAGAGGTTTACTTCACAATTTTAAAAATTCAATTAAGCAAGCAATTCATAACCGATTTCTAATAATAACTTAATTACATTAGTAAATGATGTTTCTATTTAATTATATTGCAAAGCAATTTTAATGTATTTTTTTCTCAGTACATCACTTTAATTTGTTTTACATTATAATTATTTAACATATTATTTTTTATTTTATTTTAACATATAAAATGTGTTATTGTTACTTAATTCTTTAATATCAATACCTTATTTAAATTTTGACTATTAATTTATCATAAATGCTAAAAAGAATTCCCTAATCCGAGAAACGAAAACAATCGCATTAGATTTTCAATATTCACAGCATACTGGATGTTGGAAAAACTTCCACCATAAAAAAAAAATTCCATCAATAGTACCCATTAGAACTATGTAATACAAATATCTGTATTTCGATAAATATTTCCAAACTTGTATATTCGTGGATCAAGTCAATATTTCTTGCATTTGTACTGAAAAAGTGCAAAATTAAATTATACAGAAGTTCAACAAAAAAATAATTCATTTATTTTTATTATAGACCCTAGTGCCATCAATACCACAAGATTTTAAAGTTGAACGTCTTCACATATCACGCAGTGGTATCAGCATGGCTTTAGCTGGACCCAAAGGTGTAGCTATTATGGAGTTACCACTTCGCTATGGCAAATCTGGTCAATATATGAATGGCAAAGAGAAAATCACATGTGGGTAAGTCAAATAAATGCTAATTTTATTCTGAGTGTAATGACAATCTGTTATCCAAAATTAAAATCAAAACTCCATTAACATCAAAACTCTAAAAGTGAAAAAAAGCGAGGTATACTAATAAATATTGTCATTACTCAAGCTTAAAATTGAAATTACTTTTGAAAAAGAAAATCAACCGAAAAAGAATTATGATAAACTGCATAGCGCAACATTTTGGATGCAAAAGTTTGTTGCGAAGTCTTAAAAGTTTCCATTTTTTCAAAAGCCATTATTATAATTTCCCGCTTATTTATTTGCCCGTTCACTTACTACCGAAACTGAGAAACTGAAGCCGAAACCGATGCTAGTTAAGGTGAATTTTTAGAGGTTAACTTTGGTGTAAAATGTGCTGCGTTTAGCACATCTGTTTTTTATTGCTTTTAATTTGCCATTAATAAAGCATTTTCCAAAGTGAAAGTCAGGCGTCATTACTCAGCTTCGCCTCAGAGTAATCAAAGTAATTGCAATTATATTGAGACGTTCCCATTCCAGTCCCCACTTCAAACACCAATTGCTAGTAAATTGTAGCATAATGTAGTAGTCTTTCTAGGAATGATAGCTATAACTCAATAATGTTGTCATTTTTATGGACTGCAATTATAATTTTCATTTTAATAACTTCTTATTCAGCAAATAAGTTGGGTTGAGATTTTTTTTCATAAACGCTAAAAATTATTAAAATACAATTTTAAGTTATAAAATAATTACACACAATTATTTATTAAACCAAGAAAAACGAATAATACAAAAAATATGAACTCCATTTTTTCTGTTAATTGGTAGCACTGAATTGTGTTACCGTATAAAATTTTAGCGCTATATGTTGCCATCACCTACATCACCTTTTTTGCAATTATACTTTTGAGTGTTCTGCGATAGCACAAAGTCATCCTTTCACAATGATCGAACATACTAGTAATATTCAACTGAACTGCTATTAGCACTTCGTGGAATTCATTCAAAACCATAAAACAAAAATCTCCATAAAACTTGCAGGTAAAACTTAATCAATCTATGAAAAATGTATGTATATCGGAAGACGGTTGGGTAAAGCGCTGGAATAGTTATAATAATCAATAGAGTCTACTTGAAGACAATAGATTAAATTTGATTAAATTTGGTATTAGTACCCGTTTAAAATAAGCAATTTTAAGTGACACAAGGGAATATAATGTATCAAATATATGACTGCATCTCACTTAAAATTACTTATTTTAAACGGGTACTAATACCTGTCGCGCTTATAAGTGACAATCCTCGCAACGGGTACAAATACCTGCCCCGCTCATAGTGTGTTAAGAACGATATCATATTTTATTGAGGATACTTAGTTAATACCGCAAAATAAATATTTGAGAAATCAAAATATGCCCGCGGATTTAACATAGAAAACGTAAACTAATTAAAACAGTCATTATATTTAATGTGTGCCAAATAGAATATGAAAAGAATGCACCATCGCTTCTGACAATCTCGAAATGATTTCAAAGATTTCATACTGAATATCTGTGGAGAACCAATCGCATGAAGGTATTCAAAATTTTCCATTAATTATTTAAGCATCGTTCTGGTGAAGTGAAAAATCATGGTCAGTCCAAGATTGATCCAGTAAATTGCTAAGGGCTATTTCAATGGGTTCCAAAAATATTTATCGAGACTTAAAATGTGATTTGTTTGCAAGCTTAAAAAGTGGAGGATACAAGCATTTTCAATACAATTTTAACAGGTTATAAAACTTGGTACTATGGAGTCCAGAAGGTGCTAATCCATCCATTGAAGCCAGATAACATAAATCAGGCAAAAAAAGTAATGAAATTAATTTATATCATCCAAAGAAAAGTTATAGCTTTTATTCCTTTAAAAACTAAATAGATGATGACTGCTAAATTAAATTATAATACTGTGCTCATCACCACTGAACAGTTTAAAAAAACCGCCAGTGTTTTTTATCCTTAACATACGGTAAACCATGTTTACATAATTAGCGAAAAAAATATTGACCCTAGGCTGGTTTTTTAGATAGCTCAATACCATTTGCTTTTACCAATTATTGCTAAAAACAATTTTTACAATAATTTATTTTTTACTTGATTTTCTAAAGTGAAACTATTTTATAAATATTAAAGTATAAATAAAAATATCTAAAAGTTTAAAATAGTGGTTTCAAAAATTTCGTTCAAGAATGACTAAATAGCGACAGCAAAAAAATTTTTTATTGTACATCTTACAATGCAGTCCTCGCTTTTTGAGAACAAAATTATGCATTTTGAATACCAAATTTTCTAGTCTTTCTCTGACAATAAGCGTACATCCTTTTTCATATCACAGGACGTTAAAGCGTCTTTTTTGAATTTTTGACAAAACTTTCTCAACATTTTTAGTTTCAAATAGTCTTGCAATTTCTCTTCCCTCGCCTCTGTACTTTTTGAGATGTTGCATTTTACTTTTCAGAATATAATGCGAATTTTCGATTGCTCATTTGTGAGGCTTTTATTTTTATTATAAATTACTTTATAAGGGCAGGAGGGAGACTGCCAGAGTTAGCCGTGGTAATAGTTGAAACAAAATCTTTTGATAAAACAAGCGCAATTGTGCATTTTATGCCGCTTCAAATACTGAACTTAAAGGATTATTTACACAAATTTCACCGAAAGAAATTCGCCACAATTGCAAACAACTCAGTTAAGTGTAACTACCGCGGCTAGCAGGATAACGAAGTCGGTAATGTCGTCAAGGACGGAAGGAGGTCTTGTCTACATGCAAGGAGCATAACTTTAACAAAGTTTTTTATTGTCATATTATATAGTATAGAGTTTCAAAATGTTTTAAAAAAAGCACTGGCAGAAAAATTAATAGCTTTTTAATTTTTTTTTTAGTTTTTAGTTTAATTATTTATAGTTGTATCGAAAAAATATTTGTCAAGTTGTAGAATATTATACTGTGTAGATTCTAATACTTACATTGTATATAAATAATCGTTTATTAAGAGTAAAAATTATTCATTAGTTTTATTTAAAGTTTAGTATATTCTATTGCGGATAATTTTATAAGTTCAACCCCAAACATGGAAAGTATTAACATTCACTTAGTCTTGGGACCCGTTAAGCTAACATTATAGGATTTGCTTTAATTTCTGATATCATTCCATCTTTTGGATCCCCTCTTTTTGTATGAAAAAAACTGAAGAGCAGCATAATAATTGTTTAATTGTTTTCTTTGTACACTCTTCCTACATAGTCTTCTGAAGAATTCTCTATGTAGACCAGAGAATCTAGTCACATAAATCAAATAATGAACTGTAATAACGGAATTAAACAGATTGACACTATGCCTGAGAAGTTGTTGACACTAACAGGATGCATTTGTATGTTCCAATTGAAAACGTATTTAGACTTTGTCTTACTTTTATTTTTATTCTATATTTTATATATCTGATATCGTGTTATTTGAAAAAGTCTAGTCAGATTGTCAGCTTTATATTTTTTGCCGATATCGGTATGGAAGATGGTTACCGTTTCATAACACCTCAACGAAATCAGAAGATATCAATCCATTTGGAATGTGTTTCAAAAATCTATATTAATTTCTAATAGCAATTGAATATACGTAATAAAGGCTAAATAGTTAGATTTATTATATATCAAAACCGGTATTAAACCACCGCAAATCATGATCCAATAACAGCTATTTCGAAGTTCAAGTTATTTAATTGGCCACAGAATAAACACAGCATTGCTTGAATAGTAAACGAAATTGGTGACCTATGCTTACTAAAACATGCCTACATATCTCAAGAGAAAAATCAACGAACTGTTTACTATTCGTAATGTGGATAGCGTATCTCTCTGAATACTAGAGCACCCAGGCTAAATATTATCAAAAAATGCATGTAACAGAAATAAAAATGCAACGTCATTAGAAATCGCAGAACTAGATAAAATTAAAAATGTCAAAGGCACTGATGAGATACAAAAAAACTGATGCAGATTGTATGGTGATATAACGATAAAAGACGAAAGTCATATTTGTGAGTAGAGCCATGAATATAAGGATACTTTAACAAACCTGGATAAGCTAGATTTTTGCTAACAACAAAATAGAAAAAGAGCAACAACTAAAAACTAAGAGAGAGAAAAAATATAGGAAATAGAGAAATAGAGGAAAAAATAGGAGAGAAGATCCTAACTCTCCTTAGGAAATGAAAGATCAACCCCGTGTAAGAAGAAATTACTAGTATGACCCAATCCTTAAATTAGATACAGATTGTTTGCTTTACTTTAGTCATAGACAGTTATTCTGCATAACGTTATGGTCTTAATTTTGTTCCTACACTGTGAATGATGTGATTTCTGATTGACAATTAAAACAATATGGCCATCACTAAACATCCTATTACACCTGACCACGTTAACCATATTATGAATGGTTTTTACTTCAGCTTAAAAAACATTTCTGAATTCGATAGTCTGAAGCTAATTACCAGACATATTGAGAGGGTCTGAAAAAACACTTTCATATATGTATATTTATTTCATAGTCATACACCAACTGTTGAAAATTGATTAAACTTTTTTAAGAACCATTTAACAGTACAGATCTTTAAGCTTGCTTAATAGGAATAAAAATTTTGTGAACTTTATTGATAGGTGTGCTTAAGGGGATAATAATATTTCTTGTAATATCATTGAATTACTGCAGATTTACTGTGTGTTTATATGTACTAATTTACATTTCAAAACCTGGTACTTTTGAATATCCTCTCGGTTGTAAATTAATCATACATATCTTTCGAAATTTATACATCTATCTCTTTTTTTTTATTTCTTTTTCTCTCACTATCTTTTCACCTTTCTCTTTCCACTCTACATCGCTTTTCATTTCTGGTTCTGTATATTTATAAAAGTACTATATTTTTTTAGTGATATTTTTTATGTTATTTGGTTTGTATCTCAAACACTCAGCTCACGAAAAATATCATTTATGTAACGCTTAACTCTTTCGCATCATTAATGAAATACAAAAAAAAAAATAGAAAAAAATTTATAATCAAAAAGGTGGAAAGTGTTGATTTAGGGTTGCAAACAAATATTTTGATAAGTCAAGTAAACAAATCCAGATCCATGCCATACCACTCATGCAGGCGCGTAAATATATTAAATAGTATTGAGAGGAACTAATTTTCATTAAAAGGATTAAATAATATTTTGTAGCGGTAACTTGCCTACCACCACCCCCTTATCAAAATTGTTGCACATAAATTGGTGGTACGGAATTATGACAAAATATGAATTAACATAAAAGACATAAAAATGATATTTGAAAAACGCTGTAGCTGCGACTGTGACTGCGACGGCGACGACAACGGCTATGGCTATTGCTTTAGCTTTGGCTTTGGCAGCGGCTGAATTGTAAACTTGCAAGACAATCGACATTATAAAAAGCAAAGAAATTTTTCCGCAGCGCATAATAATGAGCCACATTTGGAAAGTAAAGTAAAGGTGTACGGTAGAGAACACCCTTACATCATGCCACTTACCATCTTCCTTGTTCCAACACGATGATGAGAATGCCACTTACTAACTCACCCGCAGTTTATTATTTTCAAAATATTCAAATTTTTTGGTAATAACCGAAAACGGCTGACATAGAGCAAAACCCTCGGTAA